TTTTTGCCGCTGCTGTAGTCTTTTTTGTTGTCTCTCTTCTTTTTCCTCCAACAACTGCTGTAATCTCTCTTCTTGTTTATTTTGCTGTTCGGGCTGCCATTGTTGTGGGCCTTTTTGCCGCTGCTGTAGTCTTTTTTGTTGTCTCTCTTCTTTTTCCTCCAACAACTGCTGTAATCTCTCTTCTTGTTTATTTTGCTGTTCGAGCTGCCACTGTTGCAGGTTTTCTTGCAACTGCTGTTGTCTTTCTTCTTTTTCCTCTAACCACTGCTGTAATCTCTCTTCTCGTTTCTTTTGCTGCTCTTGTATTGCTGCCATCAAGTCTGCTAAGCTGTAGTTTGATTTGCCGCTTCTCGTTTCCATTTTTTTTGTCCCACTCTCTGACACCAATTTGTTACTTCTCTGTTCGTTCGTTAATTTTCCGTAAATTCGTTCCGACGAAACTTTAGCGATACAAGTCCTTTCTTAAATAAAACTGGTTTATTTTTTCGGAATACAGCTTTACGATACACTTAATTTCAACAGTCGCTCTATAAAACGCTATAATTCTCAACGTACGTCTCACGTGCTCGACTCAACAATGTTTAGTTCAATTACACACACCTTACGCCCTTTTCCATCGTTTCTTGGCTGGTCTTATATATACAAGACTACCCCAATCTAGTAGTCTCCCGACAATTCACGAAGGTTTGAGAAGGACGTGGCGTGATACTAGTCACGTGACCTCGCTAACGCAACACTACATAACAGACTAAACATGCATCTTAAAGTATCAGACTAAAGTATTACTGTTATTGTCAAAATGCCCCCACTGGTACAGCGGTAAGTCTGCGGACTTATGGTGCTAGAAATCGGGGTTTGATACTCACAGCACAGATAGTTTGGTTTGTTTTAAATTTCGCGCAAAGCTACACGAGAGCTATCTGCGCTAGCCATCCCTAATTTAGCAGTGAAGGACTAGAGGTAAGGCAGGTAGTCATCACCACCCACCGCCAAGTTGTGGGCTACTCTTTTACCAACGAATAATGGGATTGACCATGACTTTATTAATGCCCTCATGGCTGAAAGAGCGAGTATGTTTGGTAGAACAGGAATTCGAACCCGATTTTCAGATTGCGAGTCAAGCGCCCTAACTACCAGGCCCAGCACAGATAGACTATTGTTTAGCTTTGTGCTTAATTCCAAACAAACAAACAATTGTCAAAACTTACAGCTCTTAGATATAAGGGATAGCGTGACCTAACGTGGCGACATGGATAGTGACGAAATAGTGGGGTTCCAAATTCGTTTTAATATAACGTACTCAAACTTTTTTCACTTTAAAGTTATTCGTGATTATACGAGACATAAGTATTTTACGAAACGTTTTATACTAATCATAGAAAAACTCAGCTTAGAGAAATAAAATTATAAATACTCGACACATAGGCATCGCTAGGTGCTTTAA